AAAAATTTCGACGACAAGACGTCCAATTTTTTCGGTCAAAGGTCGTAAAAAATTTAGATCTACGACCTTTGACCGGAAAATTGGACGTCTTATCGTCGAAATTTTTTCGTGAAACACAGATATGTTGTCGGCACGGAAGAGAGCTACAGGATCATATAAAAATTTTTAATATCCGACGAAGTTGACGGCGACGGTGTGGTTGGCGGCGGCGGTCCGGCGGACGAGACAAAATTGCAACACTTAATAAAAGTTAGGTATTTTTTTGCCAAAATTGAAAAGGTTGAGTTTTATTTGCAATTAAACAAAAGGTGGTGATTTTTTATACAATTAACCAAAAAAAATATATATGCAAAGAACCCATAAGAAAACAACAAAACCACAAAATAAACTAATTTTTTTTAAAAAAATAAAAAATAAAACACATTCAATCCATAAACATGGAAATATTCAGAACAAATATACAATATTCATACACAAAATAAACAAATAAACCCACAAATTGAAAACTAAATTACTTAAAATTGACAAATGAGCAACAAAATATCTTTTTATCTAACCCCATCGGAACCAACGGCGACTCGAACAGCCTAGACATGCCCGATATTTCACGCCACCGGCCAGTACTGTTACGCGAACCCTTAGGTCGAACGGAACAGGGGCAACGGGGCGCGGCGGTGCAAAGGGGAGACCAAATCCTAGAGAGATCGTGCGAAGGGACGCCTAAATCTGAGAGAGATACGATGGCAGATTCTGATTGAAGGCCTCCGGAAAAACTGCCAAGATCTGCCATGTTCGCGGCGATGCGGCTGCGGGAGATCTTCTCTAGCTTTGCTTGCTTGTATGAGGTTTGAAGATCTTGGATTTTAGAAGAGAAATACTCAATGGAAATTTCATATTTTGTCTCTACGAATAAGAGTGAAGGAATTCGGAATGGGAAATGAATAGTGAAATAAGTCGTCCAAATGCAAATGAAAATGAAGGTTCGTGGAAAGAGAAATAAGATTTGATACAATCGTGCGGTGGGTCTCAAAACTATGTTGGAAGAGTATGACTGACTAACCATTAGACAACCTAACAAAAACGATTAGATTTAATTGAGCCCACTTCTAAGAATGTCCCAATATAATGATTTTAATTGCTCAAATGGGTCATTATGTCAAGCAACCAATTTACCAAATCAAAACTCTATCAAAACTCAACCTTTGTAATGGAGAAAAATAAAAGATAGTATTTATTGTAGCAGGTGCCCACGAATCAAGAATATTGTGGTTTAGATAACCTAATTTCTCCCTTTTTCTCCTTCAAGGGGGTATGCAAAGTTCAACCAAGGGTATTTATAGGAGTTTTTTTTTTTATTTAATCTTTATTTAATCAGATTTTTTGAA